TATATATGTTCATTCACTTATATATATAGAGAGATCAATTTTTAATACACCTAGATCGATTTCACTAGTTTTGTATTATTTTTCACCATCAACAAATATCAGGTAATTATGTCTATCTAAACTTAGACAGATGAAAAAAAATCACTTAATATTTTTGTCTACTCAAATTTAAACCTGGGACTAAATGATTCCCATGTATTCAATCACTAGGCCACAAGCCCACAACCCAGTCCTCCAAATGTTTTTAATGGTATATATTAATAATAAAACAAAATATAACTCAGACATTACTTTTGTTTTACAAGCATGAATAAGAGATATAATGTAAATCAATGGTAGGATTTATGTGTAGCCCTCGTGCACCGAATAAGAGATAATTAAATCCTAGGAAAAAGCCTTAGACGATGAACTAGGGCTAGGTGATGGTTGTGATTTCATGATTGTGTGATATATGTTTGTTCTTGCTTCATTGTAATACGTTTATGTATGTGAATGTTGCATTATTGACCACACTAGTTGTACAGGAGATGGATGAATGATGAATGCCATGAATCATGACTTAATTGTATGATTTGAGAATATACTTGTGAATGTGATTGTGGTGTAACATCTCGCTATTTGAAAGAACTAGGAAGAGTTAAAATTGGAAATAGTCATTTTAGGAAAGAATGGAAAAATCTAGAAATCTGGTTAAGTTATATTAAGAATGGTTTTTGGTCAACTTCAAACGACCATAACTCCTAGCTCAGGATGATTTAGGTGTGCTTCCAGATACCGTAGGAAAGATCGTTGAATTATCTTTCCAACGCCGCCAAGTTTGCGCGATTCCGAGTTTGTATGGTTGTTCAAATAAGGAAAGTCCAATATGGATTTTAAAGGGTAGTTTGGTCTTTTCCTTACCCAATTGTTTTATTTCATTGGTAATTAAGTTAGGTCTAATCAGAATTAGATCAGTTTACGCTTTTACCAAAATACGCTATGAGGTACGTGAGACTTTCATAATGTTGGGTTCATTCACCCACATGCCAACCATGTTATTTCAGCGTGAATTCATCCTAAAAGAGTTTGAAAGTTGACGTTCTTGATATGTATTCTTCAATTTGATATTGTTCATGAGTTAGGCCGAAATTGAGAAGTTTCTGAGATTATTACGTCAAATTATTGAGTTGGTTGGAGTTAGGTTCTTAGGTGCATTTGTTTGGTATATGTATCAAAAAAGAATTTGGGAAAAAGAATCGAGTTTGGGCGAATTGGGGCTAGAAAATGAAGAAGAAATTTAGTCGGGCAAATTTGTGTCGCGGACTTGCACCCTGGATTTGAAAAAAATCATTTCGCGGAGCGAAGCGGTCACGGACCGTTCTGCCTCAAAAAGTATTTTTGCGACCAAATTTAAATACATCTCCACGTCGCGGACCTGCTCTCAGACAATAAATTTTTTATCTTTTCTCATATTTAGCTATCTAAAAACACTCCTAAACATCATGAAATCTTTCATATCACAAATCACGATCCTTGAATCCATAATTCAATTCAAGGAAAGTTAAGAGTCAAGTTTAGAAGTCAAGAAGCAAGTCAAGAGAAGCTCATTAAAGTTTTTCAAAATCTTTCACAAATGTTTTAACTTTGTTCTAAGACTTAAGTTTTAAATTAAGCAAAGAGTAAAGAGTTGAGTTCATTTCTCCAAAAGTTATAAGAGAACTAAGTATTCCCAAGAGTTTAAAATGTTTTCACATTTGAACAAGAAAGGGAACATCGATTCCAAGAGAACTTTTAAGCTAAGTTTTGAGTAAGTATCTCAAACCAAAGAAAGAAGTTTGTTTTAAAAACATATGAGTTAAGTATATTTTGGGAGTAGTATTGAGCACCGATATAGGGATGCGAGTTCATATTAGCTCAAGTCTCCATAAATCATGTAGCCATCATGGGTAGTAAGGGATCATACTTTTTAGATGACTCATTAAGATGTTTTTAGCATAGACTAGTGGATCCACTTAGTTAAGGCGTCCTATATGACGGCAAAGTATAGGATAGTTCTGGCAGCGTGGGCAAGACGTTGTATCACCTCTTAGGCTCATAATGGTGGTTGTCGGTAAGAGAATCTCCCATATAAACTATACTACTTTGATAAATGAGTAAAGTTGAGTTTGTTATTGCATATCTTTAACAAATTGAGTTGTAATTTACTATTCTTTGTTTAAATTGCACTATTATTGTTGTTTTACACTGCATTTTGAGTTGAGTTATTTATGAGTTGAGTAAATACAAGGTAAGTGTTCCTTTCAGATCCTTTTCAAGCTTAAGTTGTGTTTAGCATTCCAACTCGCATACTCGTACATTCAATATACTAATGCCAGTTGGCCTGCATCGTCTTATGATGCAGACGTAGGTAACCAGGATCAGCATCCAGCGCCTCGTTGATCAGATTGAGCACCCAGAGTCAGTTGGTGAGCCTCTTTGCATTTCAGAAGACTTTTTTATCATTTGTTTTCTAGTTTTCAGTTGATAGGATAATCGGGGGTCCTGTCCCGACATCCCTCTTTGTTTTAGAGGCTTCATAGATAGTTAGTAGTTCAGTTGTCTTTACATTATCATTTCATATGTTAAGACTTGACTTGCCATTTTGGCCAAGTTGAATGTGGACTTCTAAACATTCTAAGTTATTTTATTTAACTATTGAAAAAGTGCATTTGATCATTGTAATAATGCTTAAGAGTCTTCCACTGAGTAAGTAAGTCAGTCCAAGGGTTCGCTTCGGGCTAGCGATGGTTTTCGAGTGCCAGCCACGTCCGGGGTGTAGGCTCGGGACGTGACATATGGCTTATTGAATGGATCGGGTGTCGCGTTCCGACACACTAACTTGGATCGATTTTCACTTTCTAGCATAAAAATAGGATCGGTTGCCACGTTCCGGCATAAACATTGGATCGGGTACCACGTTCTGGTATGCTAACAGTTTGGGTTTGAGTTCCATAAGAGGACTAATGACTTGTTATAATTGTATACTTGAGATTGTGATGTTGTACGTTGTTCGTAAATGATATTTGATATTGTTTTCCCCGAAATTGTTTAATGATTATGATGACCTATATCGGATTGTTCTACTATGTTGGGTAAATCAATTAAGTATCTCGTTGTTGAATGAACTGTAAAGAATAAGCCCAATCAGAATGCGGTGCAGTATGTAGAAAGGGTTCAAGGGTCGTAATATTTTAGAGAAAGGGTTGTCCGTGTGTTACGAGGGTAAGAAGTGAGGGTATTGTACGAGATGGAAATACTTAGGTAGATCCCACTGTTGGGGAAAGGGATTAGTGGTTAGTAGCAGGAAGCCTTGATATGATGTGTCATGTGGCAAGGACTGGGTAAGATGAGGAGAAAGTAAGAACATGTCGTGTGGTTAGTCGAAATGCTTGTAGTTGTATTCGTGAACTCTTCTAAGAGATAGAATGGTTAGGCTATGATCAAGAAATTAGTAAGTAGGTTGACTGAGAAGGTGGTTCGTAGTAAGGGTACTCGTAAAATTTTGAGGTATTTGAGAGAGGGTAAAGGTGGAGAACGAGTGGTTATTTGCAGGTTCTTGCTAGTTGATTTCTTATGTTATGCGGTGGGCGTCAGGTTGACCGATAATGCCTACCAGTATGTGTGGTTTTGTACTGATACTACTCTTGCTATGCCTTTTTGGCATAGTCTGGATGCAGGTTGGTGATGTTTCATTAGATGAAGACGAAGAAATTCTCCAACAGCTTCTATTTTTCCTTCCGCATGGTGGGAGTTGTGTCTTTTATTTATTATGTCTTATTTTTACTCTTAGTAGATCTTGTACCTGTTTAGACTAGATTCCTGGGAATGTTAATTACTTTATAAGTCTTAACTCTGAGTCGTTTTTTTAGAGCTCTTGTTTATAAAAATAGTACATGAAATTCCTTTATTCTTCCGTTTCCTTAATTTTTCGCATGATTTTAATTGTTGGGATATGAGGGTTCTCCTACTTGGGTGTTAGTATGTAGGTGCCCGCACGGCCCGGTGGGTTGGGTCATAACAAACTGGTATCAGAGCCCGGTTATCGATCTCCCAGTACAAGAGCGAAATGTGGACTAGACTTTATATATCACATCTCTTAGGCTACAACATTTTTTTTCTAATTATGTGTGAACACAACATTTAATGCATTGAGCTGTCTTTAGATCTAGTATATGTAGACTTTTGTACACACGAACTATTTTATGTATTGGACTATTTTTTAATTTAATCTATGTAGACTTTTCAATTTAAAAATATTTCGAGTGTTGCATCAAAGTTATGAAGTGCATGCGTGTAGTTTCCCTTTTCAATACATTACAACATTTAAAAATCGAAAGCATCTATAACATATATTGCTGCTTTATCAAAGTTATTAACATATTCTTATGTGATGAGGTCATGTTGCACTAAATATATTTCTTAGAGAAAATATTGACTATAATTATTGGCCCCACTTTGAGATTATTGTAAAGTCAAGGGGCATAAAATTATTGAAATTGCAAATTTTCTTTTCTTAGGGGACTTCCGTTTCACTATTTAAGAATTTTTTAATTTAAAAAATCAAACTTTTTGACTCTTTAACAAATGGGTACAAGAGATTATTTTTATCTTCTCTTTTATTATATTCTAATTATCCTCATCATGAAATGGAAAAGAACATTAAATTTTTATTAAATGTTAATTGAATATGGATGAGCAGGGAGCAGGTAGGTACCTCTCAGAGTTCTCTATATAATATGCCAATTTGGTTCACCTTTCTTCATCCCAGTCTTTGATTTTTAACTTTCTACCCACTTAAAAAAAATTCAGTTATTTCCTTCATAAATCAGCCCCTTTTTTTTTATCTTTTCCTCACTCCTCTCTTAAAGAAAACATCCTTAGTTTTTTAATAAATACATTTTTAAATTCTTAAGGATTATCTTGCCCCTATCCCATTTTGTTGCAGTTAACTAGATATAATTAGATATATATATAGATTTAAAATGGAGGATAATGATTGGGATTTAAGCGTTGTAGTAAGAAGTTGTAATATTAATAAGCCTAACGATGTTACAACTCCTAACTCAGGCTTGGTGACTTCTGAAAATGATGATTGGAATACTTTTGACAAAAATTTTGTTGCTGACATGCCTAATTTTAATGACTTATCTGAGATTTTCTCTATAGATTTTTCAATTGCTCACCAGAAAAAATCAAATGACCAGGTCATAATCATGGACCAAAATTCTAACCAAGAGATGTACTTACATCCCATTGATCAATTTAGTCAACAAATCATGCTTCCTTCATTACCAACAACGATAACGTGTGTGCCAACAACGACTACAACATCACAAGAGTCGATTTATCTACAACAACTTGAAAAATCAAATGACCAGGATATAATTAAGAATCAAAATGATAATTTGTACTTAGATCCCATTCAACAAACACAATTTAGTCAACAAATTTTTCTTCCTACGTTACCAACAACGATAACGTGTACGCCAACAAAAACTACAACACCACAAGAACCAATCGATCCACAACAACAATTTGAAAAATTAAATGACCAGGTCATAATCATGGACCAAAACAAAAACCAAGAAATGTACTTACATCTCATTCAACCAACTCAATTTAGGCAACAATTTTTTCTTCATCCATTGCCAACAATGATAACGTGTGTGCCAACAACCACTACAACACCACAACAATCGATAGATCTACAACAACAACTTGTGATACAGTATCAAGTTTATCCTAATTTTACTATGCCCATGCAGACTCCTCTGATCAAAACTATTAAAAGGTAACTATTTTCTCTGTTAAATTTTAAGTGTGCGTGTTTAAAGTTTTAATTTTTTTACTTTTGATTTGAAATCAGAAAAAATCAGTCAACAAGAGTTTTCTATGAAGTGTTGCAAGAGGAACTCACAGATGATAAATGGGCATGGCGTAAGTATGGTCAGAAGTCAATCAAACGTTCTCCATTCCCAAGGTTTGCTCTCTTTATCATTTTTTCATATCGTAGAAAATGTTGTTCAGTTCTCAATTTTTGTGATAAAAAGTAGTAAAAACTATTAATGGTAAATGTAGACAAATGTAATATTTGACCAGTACTAATTATATTTTGTGTATATGATATATCAGGAACTACTTTAAATGTAGTGCATCAGGATCCTGCAAAGCTACAAAAATAATTGAGAAAAGCCCAAAGAATGAGAACTATCTTTTGATGTCCTATTCTGATGAACACAACCATGATCCTCCTACATATCGTAGATCTCTTGCTTTATACAACAATAGTTCCAAACGCAAACTTCCAAAAAGTAAAAATATTGTGCCCAAAGCGTTAAACTTGAATGCATCATCATCCTCGTCCAAGCGTGCTAAGCATTTCAAAGTTGACGCCTCTTCAATTAGTCCAACTGCACCTACACTTGAAATTTGAGAGAAATAATGAAATGGTTGATGTTGTGGTGGAGAACAAAGACGATATCGAAGAGGAGGAGAAAACGCATGACATACAATATTTTCATGGATTTTGAATAGCTCCAAGAATTACTACTTCCATCTTATGGGGATGAAATGGACAAGAGAAATTGATCTTTTTCCCCCTTCTCCACCAACTCTACTATGAGCACCTTTTGTCTTCTAGTCATGTTTCTTTTTTAGTTACAAGTGGGGTCAAAGGAAAATTTTAGATTTATAGTTTGTTATGTTTAACCATGTCATAGAAAATGATGCTTCTCTAGATAGCTAGATATGAATTATTTTCAGCTTCGCTATCTTTTGTTGTTTTTTAATATGAAAAATTGGCCCCTCTTGTAAGTTGTTCTTGTATTTTCTCAAATAGTTCTTTCTTTTAAGAAAAGTCACCAGCCTCAAACTCTCAATTTATACATTAAATTGTACAAAGTATTAGAATATCACAATTCAATTTTAGAAGCTATATATATATATATATATATATAGATGAAATCAAGAGTGATCTTGACATCACACAACATTATCAAAGACGTTATAAATTATTTTTAAAAAAAAAAACAAGAGGAGAAAAAAAAAATATATATATATAGATGAAATCAAGAGTGATCTTGACATCACACAACATTATCAAAGACGTCATAAATTTAAAAAAAAAAAAAAAAAAGAGGAGAAAAAGAAGAATCCGGAACTAAATCACATCGGAATAAGTAATTTATTCTACTCTGTTAAATTATTTTTTGATGGTATAAATTATTTCTCTATATCATCAATGGTTTATAAATATCTCAACAAATCATTTTGATTTTCTTATTCCTGATATTTTATTTTATTTTTGCTAAAGGATACTTTTATAGTCATATTTATCTTTGAGCAAGAAACATGTGTCAAATAAATAATTATAATAAGTATAGGGATTTACGAAATCCTTGTGGTCTTTAATGTTGTTAGGAGTAGCATTGAATGCAATCTCCACTTATAAACTGTTACAAATCAATTAATTATTAATATAAAAAATTTGCATAATTAATGAAGTAATACATTATTTCAATATTGAACATTCTACTACTAGTGCATTTTTACTTGTCATATTTATTTTTCACCCCTTAAAAAAGATTAATTAAAAGAGTTATTTGACTAAATTATTCGTATATAATCTTGACTTTAATTTAATACTATCTCTTTTTGCACCGCATTAATCTCTCTATTAATTATTCAAAATACTAAACTTCTCTTATCAAAATTATTAGTTGTCGAGAGGCTTTCCTAATATGGAGGACTTGCGTCCTATCATGATAATTGGGAGGTTTCAGTGCTTAGATTTGCTCTTCAACAATTAATTCCTCAATATTTTCCAATTTGCATCTACCTCTAATGTTTTCCAATTTGCATCTACCATTTCAAGGACTTAGTCTAGATAGGTAAAAGAGTTGCTAATAAAGTATGAATAGAAAATGTAATAAATAACGAAAAATACTCATACAACTTCTATTTGAGAACACAATAGATGGTAGTTGATGATAAGTAATTGTCATCCCACGTTCAAGCAACCTGAAACAAACTTATACCAACAAAAGGCGTAACAAGAATAGCATCAGTATACCATACACACTAAGTAGGTATCATGGGCCGACCTGAATTAGTTTCACGTAAAGCATCATAAAATCAACAGAAACAACAATACATTATGCCAACATATATTATAACACAAGCAATATCTCTCCATATCTCTTCTTACCTTAATCATAATTTTCATTATTGATCCCTTAGCATACTCCCAAACCTTAAATATTAATCTCACATAGATATAACTTATCCAGAAGTCAATACGATAATATTTTTTCACCAGAAATCACCTTTTCTTTTAAACTCGAATACAACTTAAATAGAAGAGCATAAATTAATATGAGATGATGCACTACAAAATTCACTAGTGGGGAGAATTTTGATAGAATCGAAATAATCTAGATTTTAATTTTTGTGATTGATTAGATTTTTCTTTCTCGGTAGTTCCTCGATATTATAATTTTTTCCATAACAATAAGTTTCATTTTAGGAAAATATCCAATTTATATAGAAATATTGAAACATCTGTCATTGTAGTTTGTACGTTCCAAATTGATGTTATACTAGTAATGGATTAGCAAACCAATTTTGATGATTTAGCTGAAAAATTCTCAACAATAGAAGAAGTGAAATTTATTTTTTTATTTACAAGGTATCTATTTATTAATTTCTTGCATTTAAGAAGAAAAAAAAACTCATGCCCATTAATTATGTTGGTATATAAGCATGCATTTATTTTAAACTGAATTCTTTTTTACTTATTTGTAGTTTCTGATCCATAGTGTGACAATTTAAATTTTATGTTGCTTCTTTGTATCTCTTCAATGATTTACTTTGATAATCCTATATAAACAGATGGTGGTTTAATTTAGAGGATCAAAAGAAAGGCAAAACAAAATGATTACTTTTTTATTTGATAATCATATGAAGTAAAAGTTTATGTGATTGATCAATGTGGATCTATCCTATACTATTTCTTTTATAGTACTTAAAAAATTGTACTAGATATCATCAGTCAATCCGTAGGGTAAAGATAATCTTGTTTACATTAAAATGAATTAGTAATGTAATATGCATGTGATGCATGACCCTTGTGGTCTAATTTATTGAAAAAAATTGTGTAAAAAGAACGATAAATATAATCTCTTCTAGTCATATTTCTATTTTAGTTTTTTTTGTCACTCTTTTGTTCTTAAATGTGATAATCTTATTTGGTCCCTTCTATAAGTTGTTTTTCAATTTTCTCAAATAGTTCTCTTTTTAAGAAAAATTATATGACTTGGTTTATACATTGAAATTTAAGATTAAATTTGGCAATTATTTTCAACTATCCTTAATATTAAATGTAACGACCTGTTCTTGTCGTTATAGAAAAGCCAACAGGGAAAAAATTTGGGCCGAAAAACTTTTTCGTAGTAACTTGAAATTTCCCAACTTAGTCCAGATTTGGACGGAATTGGAGTCAGTAAGGTCTAGGGAAATCGGGTAACAATTGGGTGATCTAATTATGAATTTGATCACATGAGTAGATAGCTAAGACGTTAAGGAACCCGTATGACTTTACGGAATTGAATTCGGGTGAGTAGAACTCCCGAAACTGATCTTAGCGTGAACGGGTAGTTTCTGAGTGTCGTTGGTTGAAGGTGTGTTGTGAAATGGGGGTATTGAAATTATTAAATTTGCTCACTGGTTCCGTGCAAGCCGCTAAGGCGGGATTTTCCCGTCAGGGCGGGACCATTGTAGCAAGGTGAGTACCGTTGTGGCGGGACAGACGCGACTTAAGTTGGAAATAAATCCCAAAAAATGTTTTATTCTGCACTTTTCGACTTTGAGAGTTAGGAGATGACCCCAGGTGTTTTCTTGACCATTTTTCACCATTCTTGGGGCTAAAGGTAAGGTTTTAACTCCCCGAATCCATTTTTCGATTCGTAGAATGTAATCTAATGGGTAATTATCGATGGGGGAGGATTTTGATCTGGAATTTATGGTGGAAAAAGCCCTAATTTGGATATTGGGATCATGAGTTTGATCTAGGGTTGTCAGGGTTGTTGATAATTTGGGTAATTAGATATTGTTTATTGATTCCCGCGTTACATTAATTATTTGTAGACCAAGAACAAGCGGAAAGGATCCAAAAAGGGAAGAATCAAGTTTCTTAGGGGATCCAAGCTTTGTTTGAGGTAGGTGATGGTTGTGATTTCATGTTGTGTGATGTATGTTTGTTCTTGCATCATTATAATACATGTATGTATGCAGATGTTGCATTATTGATCACACTAATTGTAAATGAGGATAGATGAAATATGAATGCCATGAATCATGACTTGATTGTATGATTTTGAGAATGTACTTTATGTGATTGTGATTGTGGATTGTTGAATGGATCGGATGCTGCGTTCCGACACACTAACTTGGATCGGTTGCCACATTCCGACATAAACATGGGATCGGTTGCCACGTTTCGGCATAAACATTGGATCGGGTACCATGTACCGGTACGCTAACAGTTTGGGTGTGGGTTCCATGAGAGTACCATTGGCTTGACATAATTGTGTAATTGAGAATTGTGAACTTGATCGTTATTCATAAATGGTATTGAAATTGTATATGTTCGGTGTATGCATGTTATTATTATGTTGTATTGACTTATGTATGTTGCACTTAGTGGGATAGTCGTGTGATCCTACCAGTACATTGTGGTTGTGTACTCATACTGCACTTGCTCTTTCTTTGTTGAGTACAGGGCATCTTCCGACGGCTATTGACAGACCTCACTTAGAAGATCAGTGATCGTTTCGAATTCAAGGGTGAGCCAGTTCTTCTGGGATGTCATGAGTTTTCTTTATGTTTATGTTCACATTTTCAGACTTAGACTAGTTCCTTAGATTTCTTATGTTTAGTATGGGGTTGTACCCCTTCTTGTTTAGACTTATGGTTCTTGTTAGAGTTTTGGTACATTGACTTTTAGGTTCTAGGTATTACTTTTGCATTTGTTTTGGTTGTTAGACTTTTGTTTGGAGTTTATGGGAACTCCCTATTTCTTTCCTTAGCATTTGAACCTACTTCAGTAACTTTAAATGTCTTAGTTTTGATTAAGTTGTGTAGTTCTTTGGTTAGCTAATTAGTATTAATGGTTCTCCCACCGGAGGGTTAGTATGGGTGTCACTCACGACAGTCTGGATCGTGACATTAAAAAAGTAATAGTTCTTTTTAATACTGCTCAATTAAAAAAAAAATCTAACTAATAGGGGTAACTAGTCATTACACCTTATATTTATTGTTTGAAGAAAATGATAATTTTCAAATCTCGAGTAAAAATAAAGATCTCGTACGTATAAAAATGAAAATCTCTAGTAAAAGAACATAAAACTAAAAATATGTTTGTAAAAGACTGTAAAA